GGCAGTAGGCACTGGGGGAAGCGCTGGGGGAGGCTCTGAGGGGAGCTCTGAGGGGCGCTCTGAGGGGAGGAGGATGTTTCACAACCTGGCTCTGGTGCAACCTGCCCAGGGAGGTGAAGGAATCTCCCTCTCTGGAGAGTTTCTAAACCCCTCAGTGTGATGCCTTGAGTGGTGAGGTCTGGCCCGTGGTGGGAGATGGGACGAGGTGACTTCCATGCTCACCTTCATCCCTGAACCTCCGCCGACCCCCGGAATCGTCATGCCAACCTCGTGCTCTCTGCGTGGTCACCCAAGTCTGCGATAGCCCGTGCCCCAGATGGCCCTGCTGGGTCACTGGCTGTACTGTGTGTAGCCAAATGTCCGGGTCCCAGTCCTGCAGCATTCCCATGTACCCCAAGGAGAGCTCCAGGCCCTTGGCTCCACTCCTGCCCCTTGTGCCTTCATGACCTCAGAAGAATGCTCCGAGTACTGTTCCTAGGCTCGGTTGGTTTACCCTGGTGGCGGTGGATGCCTTGACTTCATCCCGGTTCATTCCCCTGTGCCCTTACCCCCCTCCTCAGCACACAGGTACGTAGTTGGCAGGCAGCGCGTGAACTTTCCTCCAGGTCTTTAAAAGCCGTATTGAGGCAGGATTTCTCACACCTCATGGAAAGGGGAGGATGGTTTGTCTTGGGAGAAAGAAGGCGTTTTCTGTGCATAACCTCTAGCTGCTCAGCCTAGTCGTAACTCTGTTCAGGTGAGCTCTGATGCAGCTCACGATCATAGCCAGCTTTTCAGTCCTGCATTAAAAGCACTGTGTTTAACAGCTCCGCAACCATCCTCGCTCCAGGAAATATCCACAAGATGGGGCCCCTCTCCTTGACTGTCATGAAGATGGCTTTTAGGGGGCTTGACTCTAGTTAGGGTAATCAACCCTGTCAAAACCTGCGGTAATGGTACACGATGGTAGGTCGGAGGAAACCTGGGAGGCTGTAAGGAGCAAAGGTGCTGAATGTTGTCTCTGCGTGCAGCAAGGCACTGCTGGGTTATGATAAAAGGAGGAATGTCACCTCCTCCTTAGGACTCTGGAGTTATTCAGAGGGAGCCCTACTTGTAATACAACATTGTCACACCCTGCATTTTATTTTGCACTGCTGAATGTTTATCGGTTTATCTCCTGGCAAAATCAGATTGCCCTAGGATATCATTAACACTTGACAAGCCAATGAGTTGGAAGCAGCATGATTTGAATTGTACCCAGAGGGCATTCTGTTTGTGCTTGCTCATCATGAGTAGGATTTTTCTTCTCATACAAACAAATAAATAGAGGTATACTAAGTGGCTTAAGGGAATTTTAACCATGACATTTATTAGTTCCAAAATGCTGAGTTAATCTCTTTGCAATTATCTGTTATTTAAACTTGATTGGCCAAATAGTGCAAAATTACATTAAAATGACTCACAAAACTAAAACTCAATTGGGAGGGGAGGCACCTTAGGCAACCAAAATATATATGACCGAAGAAGTAGCATCCAAAGAATAGCAACTAGTAAAGCTAAACTTCCGCTGTCCAGCATTAGAGAACTCATTAAAGGTAGGAGAAGCCTCTGCTACGGTGTGGACTCTTGCAGAGACCATTTTTTCCACTTTTGTGTCTGCCACTCCTGTCACTAGAGGGTCAGAGCTTGCTGGATGGGAAGACCGGGAGTTGCTACCTTGATTACATGCCATAGAGGAAGCAGAGAAAGGGCTGATGAAGTGTTTCTGAGCAATGGGAAGAATAAATAGAGGGATGAAGGAGAAGGCACAGAAGCGTTTCAAACTGGAGCTGGTTTTCTGTGCTGATGCTGTAAGCCCCAGGCTCATTCTGTGGGTGGGAGAAGAGCACCGATGAGGTGGTGGTAGCATCAGAAGTTCACAGATCAGACTCTGCCTAAACTGGCTCTTACCAAAATTGTTTTATTATTAGGTTTTATTTTATAGAGGGAGCTTATGTGGTAGGCTAAATCTTGGAACTGGGAAGGATAAATCAAGGCAATGGAAGATCTGGGCTGTAAGTAGTTCATGTGTGGTCTTGATAAAATGTGACAGAGTGTCTAAAACTGTGAGACAGTAAAGCATAGTGAGTAAGTTTTTTGAAAAATAAAGGCAGGGCATGCAGCATTTTAAAGTCATAATGAAATTCACATTTCATAAAACTTTGCAAGAAAAGTCAAAAGAGGTGGCAATGCAGCTGATTTCTTAGGGGGAGATCAAACCTGCATAGCTGGCATGTTAAAAGTCTTCATGTGTCTCAGCCACAGAAAAGTTTGAACTGTATTTTATTTGGAGTTTCACAAATGCAAAGAGCTGATCTTACCTGCAAGTGCAAAGAGCTGATCTAAACTGCAAATAGAATGAGATTCCTTAACTAACATCCTTCTGCGTCTCAAATTTGTGGTGATTGAATTATATATAGGTGAAAATCAGGATTCAATTCATAAGCAACTTTTAAAATCCTTGGTTCCTGAAATTTTTATTTAAATGTATTTTAGCTGTACCATATAAATTCTACAGGGTAGGGAGAGACAAAGTGTTCTATTCATGGTCTGCTTAACACTGATCCCTTTTGTGAACTATTCTTACCTACTTTTGAAAACCTGTGCCCATGTCACTTTAATTAGTATTTTTTACCTAGTGTTCACGCTGTTCAAAGCAACGTTATGCTGTGAATTTTGGCACGGTTGTAGGGATAGCCTCAGGACTACAAGGTCATTTACTCCTTTCTGTGAATAATTCGTAAACGTTCTTGGAGTCATTATGTTTAAAAAAAAAAAACATTGATGCAGGGTGTTGGTTTTTGTTTATTAAACTTTGGCAATACTGCTATTTTTGTTTGAACACAGCTTGTGTTTTGACATGTATTTTTAAACAGATCTATTTTAAAAGAAACAAGTCTTTTATTTAAAACTAAATCAATTTTTGTTGGCTTACTGCTCCGATGAACTGCTGGTGGAGGAAAACAGTCGTCCAGCATGATGGTTGCTGAAAGTCTGCTCAGTTACACAGAGTGTGTTTGAAGCCTCATGCCTTTGCTTTGCCTGGGCGTTGGAAAAGGTACTTCTGCCTCATCGTGGCGCTGGCAGAGCTGCGATCAGCCTAACGGGCAACTTAAACTCCAGCTGCATCTTTCGGAGATGACGTGGTGATTGGTTGCAGAAGGTCAGGAGATGAACTTTGTTCACAAAAGGCACCGCTGAGAGATGTCCTTAAAGGGGGACAGCTCTCAGTGTTGGGAACCTTTCCCTGTGTCTCCCCAAAGCACGCTGACCAGTGAAAAGAGCATGACTGGTGTAAAAAGTCAGGATTTGCAGTAATTTATTTTGCTGTTCACTGTATCTTATTGTTTTCTTTTTAATACCATTTACCATGTTCCACACGTTTGTAGCAGAGGAATTGAAGGGGGAGGGAGTTTTGGAAGTGTATTAAAGGCCTTATTTGGCATCTGTTTGAATTACTTGGAGAATCTGGAAGGGGATAAATGGTTAAACTGCATCCCTAACAAAAAATGGTTAAGCATTGAAGAGTACATTTGATTTTTGTTGCCAGCATGCTGTGTTTCACCTTAGTAAGGGGACCATCCAGACCAAGGAATATTGTTCCAGTGCATGCATTTACGTGGGAAGAGTGACTAGCTCTTGCTAATAACCAAACAGTGCCCGTTTGATCGGTTAAGTGACGGCAGAGCTCAGTTAAACAGCTTCGCAGACTAGGGTAGGAAAAAAGGCTCTGTGTGGGACCACCTACTGCTTGGGGGAGGAGGAAGAGTAGGGGGCACCCAAAGTTAGTTGGGTTTAAAAAGTTGCTACAGTGGCCTATCTCCAGTTGAAAGGAACAAGCAATTAAACTGAGCTTGAGGGATTCCTCTGAGAAGGCCTCATGTCATAAACTCTTTGGAAACCTTCACTTGAGGAGAAATGGAGTAGTTTCTGTTTTGTCCTTTAAAATGTATACCTCTGGAGAAGTTACTTATCTGTGATGTATGAGGATATGTTATATGCACCACACTGGTGTATGTCTCTGCACTCCTCTGGCTGCTCTCAGTTCAGATTACATGGTGTGTAACTCTCAGGGAAAACTCTCTGTGGTTCTACCTTCTCCAAGTTGATTTATTAGAACTTTTAGAGATGCTGGTTAATGGTGGGTTCCTGGGAAATGGCTGTACGCTGCAGGGGATACAAGGGACCAGCAAAGTGCATGTAGACAGCAGCAGCAGCAGCCTTGGATTCCCCATGGAGGAAGGGAAGGGGGACAAGCACAATGAAAACTCGGAGGGAAAAAGTAGTCAGAAAAGCAGCATGCTGACAGTGGGGTCTTACAGGAGTGACAGCAAGAGGTTACCAGGTGCCAGCCTGAGAGGAGGAGCTGTAAGAGACCACATGAGAGGAATGGTTATGAAGCACAGTGTGCGGGAACATCACATGGAAATGTAGTTATCACATGCTTGATTGCTCCAGGCACAAAGCTAGGAATGGTGGACTGACATAAGCCCTTCTTCTGGCCTTACCGCGCTCCCAGGTTATGCTGACTGACCTGGAATTCACAAATACTTATGGGAACCAGAGAGGGCTGGTGCCAAGAGCCTGCTTCCAATAAACACCTGGACCCTTCACCTCTAACCTTGCAGTATCAAGTGGGCGTTACTAGGTGCGTGGAGGGGACTGTAGGGACTGCATGAAGATTATGACCCACAATCAACATTGTTACTGCAAATGAGTTATATTACTGTTTGTCCTTTTTGCTTTCCGGCAGGTTCCTAGATGGCTAATGAATCAAGGCCCTGCCCGTGTGGTATCGGGGACAGGTTCGACTATGAGGGTTGTGGGCAGGAAGTGCAAGTTGAGCACATCAAGGCGTATATTTGCAGCCCCCCTGCCAGCACAGACAAAGCTGTGATTGTGATTCATGATATATTTGGATGGCAACTCCCAAACACCAGATACATGGCTGATATGCTCGCGGCTAATGGATACATGTAAGATACCTATTCTTCTTCAAGAAATCCCACTCTATGATTTCTAGCCTTACGTTAGAACTGTTTGTCCCATAGGTGAGAGGAAACAATTACCAGGGCAGTTTGAGTGATACATTTCCGTAACACAAAACCACGAGGAGCATTGCAGTGAAATGCAGTACAGCACGCTTCCTTCATACCTTGCTGTTTGCCGAAGTCACTGCACAGATAGAAGGTGTAGAATGTTGAAAACATGATGCAGTATAAAGTGATACTGCTGATTTTCCCAGCAATGTGAGATGGCTTTAAAAAGTAGTGCGTTCTGAAACAGAAGTATGTATTCTGTTTTTTGGAAGTCTTTTTAAAATAAACAGTCATTCAAGCTAATTTATGTGATGAGGTTTAAAAAGAAATTGTCATTAGCAGAAATATGACTGAATTTCATATTTTTTGTGTGTGATTTTGTATGTGCACATGGAGTATGTGCATGATTCACATGCACACACTGGGTATTAAATACAATTCCCTTCCCCCCCTGCACATCTTTTACACTCATTTTTGGTATCCTACAGCAGTTCAGTTCCAAAATGTAGCAACATCTTGCAGTAACTGGATGTGCTGCAAAGTACTCCATTCACAGTGTACGTTACAAACATTCATATAGGGTTGGGGTACTCCACAGTGTGCGTTACAAACATTCATATAGGGTTGGGACTGGCTTACAGTTTAAAAAAATAAACTTCCACCTACTTCTGTAGTGATCTAATTTTGGGAGATGGTGCCTGTAATACTCTCAGTATGAGGGAAGTCAGATGTCAGCAGACAGTTACCATGTGGCTGAGGTCTGTCTGGAGCTGAAAGGAGCTCTATTTCTCTGTGAGATAAAGACACTCTGTGAGAATCAGGGCTTTTTGGTACACCAGACCAATGAATTGGCCTGCAGTCTGTTCTTTGCTACTGTCTTTCCTGAGGAGTTGACATCCCATGTTCTGCCCCATGATTGGAAGCATGTTTGTCTTGTGACAAAATGCAATCATTCTCAACATGGGATGGAACATAAACCTTTCAGGCTGTGCAGGACACTGGGAAATTGCTAGTATGCCAGTGTGCTTCCTTATTACACTGAGAACCCACTCAGTCAAAACTACCCAGTGCCTGATGAACTGGTATTTCTCCACACTGCTTTACTTCCTGTGAATTTGCCCTGTGATTCATGCCATGTCGTAGTTCTTTCTGTAATACTGTCTTTCCTTCCATCTGTACTGCTAATACCGCAGTGGCCAAGGGAAGGCTGGTGTTTCCATTGCTCTAGGCAGGAGGAGAGATGAGAGTTTTCAGGCAGCTGTGTCTCGATGAAGAGAGGCCATGTGTGTCTTCCCTCATTGCTTCACAATGCTGCCAAACTGGGGCGCCATTGTTTATTGAGAGGAAAAGAGCTGCATTTTTTCCTAGTGTAGTATGGGATGAGGAGCTGAGACCTGTATTTCAAAGACCACAATAAGGCTGATGGCTTGTTTGAGTGGGGAAAATCCTCTTCTATGTGAGCTTTGAAACGTTCCCTTTCCAAACGATACGTAGCCTTACTTATCCAAAGGCTGTGCAGTTTTGTCCATACCTTTTCAAACACAAGTGTGCCGTGGATGTCACTGCTTTTTCACAGAAATGATCAAACAGTTAAAAAAAATAAATGCTTGCAACATACTTTGGTCTGCTTTAGGCCAAACTGATAGAGTCATTTCACCATGATCATTATGATACATGTTGTGTGTCTGAGAAGGCAAAGAGCCAAGACATTTGATAAGTGAAAGATGATAGCTGTTTCCCAGGGATCCCATTGCTTCCCTGTGGGCTGGGCTTGGGAGAAGACACAGCAGCATCTAGGAGTGACCTAGTGAGGGCAGCGTCCAGCATCCCTCCTTGTTTCCTTCTGCATGAAGAGACTGTGTTATCCACTAGTGACTGCACCATCACCACTCTGCTGCTGGTCACTCAGCACATTTCAGCTGGGGTCATCCCGAGCCAGGGTTTGGGCACCCCCGTGATGCAGGAACTCCGTAGTGCTGCATGGACTCTTACTGGACTTCCCTTTTTCCAGTCACCGAATGATGTCCACAGTAAAACACTCCTCTCTTTCTTCCCACACCTTTTCCCTTCACTCTGCTGGCCTCAGTCCATCAGGTGTTTTGGTTTTTTGTTTTTTTTTTCAATTTTCCTAGCTTATAAGCAAACCTCAGGATGTGCTCTGTGGTAAACAACTATTTTATGTAATTGTTTTTGTTTAAATGGAACTCATTAGTGATAGATTTATGTTAAATGGTATTATGCTGTCTTGAAAATCTGACATTGTTGTAATCAGTATTTTCCAGATCTGTATCACTAATTGTATTATTTGGTTTAGACACTGGAAAAAGCCTATATAGATAGCTATAAATGTTTTCTAAAGCTCATAGGCATTTCTGTAGGATAGTTAGCAATGATGTTTAAAAACATGACTAACTCAGGAAAAAGAAATCAAAATAAAACTATGTCTGGATAGAAACTTATCATGCTATGAGGGGCCAAAACATATCTCAGTTTTTGATTAATTAATTAAATTTTGATATTTTTTTTGTGTGCGCAGAGCCATCTGTCCAGACTTTTTTGCAGGAAGAGAAGCTTGGAAACCATCTGATGACTGGTCTAAGTTTGATGATTGGCTGAAAACTCGAGATGCCAGGAAAATAAACAAGTAAGCAGACCACGTCATCCAAATTACCATGTCTCCTCACAGCAGAAAAACAACACCTCTGTAAAGAAAGAAGACTGATTTTTTCAGCATGCTGATAACGCTTTGGAATTCTTTTGTTAGTGCATCTGTCCTTGGCAGAGTGATAGAAAACTCTGTGACTAGAAGGAACAATGACAGACAGTTTCCCAAATTTGACTTAAAACGAAACAAGATGAAACATTTGAAGGAGGGAGGAAGAATGAGAGCTGGAGCAGTGGGAAAAATAGGCAATTACCAATTGCTTCTCTTCATTGAAAGGGGTTGGTTTCCTGCTCTTTGTAGACCAGGTGTGTTCTTGGGCTGTTGAACTCGGGCTGCTAGAGGATGCCAAGGTCCTTTGCCAAGCAAAGGCATTTTCTTCTCTGTAACTTGGACTAGAATCTTCTGGCCTCTAAATCTTGGTGAAGGGGTAGTGCCCTTCAGCTGTTTGGCTGTAGGATAAATGACCCTTGTGTCCTCAGTGAAGAAGTGTGTGTAGGGACCATTGGAAAACAGAAGCTACACGTGTGAAGCAGTCCTTGAGGAGCACAGCTCTGGCAGTGATGTGTGGCTTGTCATGGCTTCCAGTTAGCTTTGAATTTAAGCTGTTGGTTAATTTTAACTTGTTAATGGTAGCAAGTAAAGTCTCCAGTTGTTTCAGCCCTGATCCCGAAGAGATCATGTCTTCCCCTCCTGTTTGCAACACTGCCTGAGCATTTGTCAGCAAAAACCTGTCACTAGCAGAGGTGCTCTGCTGCCTTGGTAACACAGAAGGAAGCTGTTGGCAAGACAGTACCGAGAAGGGGTCAGACTAATTAGAGACCAAACTAATTTCCTGAGAATAAGGAGAGCAAATACCTTTCTTGGTCTGTTGGCACTAGCTACATAGGTGGTTTCTGAGGTTAGGTATTTGGTGAGAAGGTTATGGGAGGCATAACTGAATCATTTCCAGAGAGCTCCTGTCTCAGAGGGGTCAGTTGTTGTGGAAACTTTTTAGGTTGGAATCTGTCCCCTCTCTGCTGTGATGGGAAGGAAGGGTTGGGCTCTGCCTGGCTTTTCTTACAGATGATTCGTGTTTCATGTCACCTTCAGTGAAGAAAAGGACCTGAATTTGCTTCTTTGTGTGTTTGTGCGCTGGTGGATAATGTGGTGTTTGCAAGGCTGATGAATTGACAGCGTGTATAGCTTGTGTGCCCCAGGGGGCAAGGAACCGGGGCTGAAAATATAGTCTTGAGGTGATATAAAAGCCTTAACTGCTACCTCTCTCCCAGCAAAAGTTTCTCTTTACTGCCTCTGCATGGTGACACCTGCTTCAGGGGTAAATGGGTGTTTTCAGAATACAGCTTCTGGGCAACTGTATTTTGAGCTACATTGTAAATTCTGAAAACATGTTTGTTACATTCACTTTCCTGCAGCAAATATCTCAGATGCTAACTTACAGTTGTTGTCAGCATTTTGACTGTCTAATGAGTAGTATGCTCTAGAGAGGATTTTCTATGTCTATCTACATTTACAAAGGAAAAAATTCATCCAGCTTCCCAGAGAATTTTGAGGTTTTTTAACTCTTAGATAGGTGTTTAATTAATCATCTACTTTTCATCCCTTAGGTTTCCTTTGATGCATGTTATTCATGTTGTGTTTTTATTTAATTCCATTCAGTTCTTTTTTTTTTCCTCTTCCTGATGGTTTCAGATCAGCAACCCCTAATATTTGCCTGAAATAATGATTTATTTGAAGTATGAGAAGGAAAATATAGTAGCAGCATGAGATGGGGACACTTATATGCATCTCTACATGTTCTTTTCATATTTCCAAATACTGTTTTAAATATGGGTGCTTAATTTGCATTTGTTCATATGTTACAGAGAAGCTGATGCTGTCCTGAAGTATCTAAAGGAACAGTGTGGTGCAAAGAAATTAGGGGTCGTTGGTTTTTGTTGGGGTGGTGTTGCTGTGTGTCACCTGATGATGACATACCCGGAATTAAAGGCTGGTGTATCTCTCTACGGTAGGTAATACAAGAATGTAATACAAGCAGTTACACATGCATGTGTATGTTGCCTAGCTTAAGTACTTGATCTGGCATTATTTCTTCAAATCAGGCTGTCAGCTGATGAAGAGAGATGTTTTGCTTGGGAATAGTTCAAAACTGCACCAGGGGAGGTT